TATATATATATATGACTCATCTGTATATGTACCTGGCAAATATATATATGACAAAGCAATCCTGATTTCTAACAGTAACCATACATACTTGTTTTTCCACAGGAGCGGCAAGTATAGGTAAAGGCATTGGCGGTATCCTGTTCTCCAGATTTTCCCGCTCTAGTGGACAGGTGTGTGGTGTGGAGGAGGAGCCATTAGACTCTGAAGGCGGGGCTTGTGAGAAAGGGGAAGAGTGTCGGCCTGTGGAGTTAGACGATAAACTGGAGGAGAAGACAGAGGAGAAAATTGAGGAGAAGACAGGAGACACCAGCATGTCACAATCAGCCTCTACCATTATGGATAACTCATCCTGTAAGCATCATCTGCACAAAGAAGTCTTTGTGCACTCTGATCATTTTTCTCAGTACTCATCATTTCATGATTTCAGTATTTTGGTTTAGGAAACCTGTTTGGAAACAAACTATATTTTTGCAGTTTTCATTTGGTGCTGCTAATATTTCTGAAAACAATTGTTTTTATATATAATTTTATCCTTTATTATAATGGAAACCTGTTTCCGCATTTGAGTAGAAAATAAAAAGGTAATTGTAAGGTAAGAAATAAAGTCACATTGTGAGATATAAAATTGCAATTGCCAAACATAAAGTCGAATTGCATTGTGAGATGCAAAATCGAAAGTATAAAGCATTTTAGACATATGGAAATGTCCTAAGATATAATTTGAAGATATAAAGTCAGAATTCCAAGAAATAAATTAGAGATTTAGATTAGAGAAATTAGAGAAAACAAAGTCGCAATTGCTAGATATGAAGACACGGTGTGAGATATAATTTTGCAATTATGAAAAACAAAGTCATAATTGTGAGATATAAAATCACGTTGTGGATATAAAATCATAAGTATCAGAAACAAAGTTGCAATTAAAAGATATAAAGTCACAATCTGGGAGTACGGTTACATTTTAAATTCATTATTTGAACATAAAATCTAAATTCCAAGAAATAAAGTTGCAATTTTAAGAAAGAAGGTCACAATTTAAAGGTAAAGAAAAACGAAGTTACAATTGCAAAATTGGAAGTGCAAGATGTGAAATCATGTCTCAGATATAAAATTGCTCTGTCAAATATAAAGTCACAATTATCAGAAACACAATAACAATTGTGAGATATAAAAGTAAATCGCATTTTAAGATATAAATTCACAATTTGAAAATATAAAGTCCCAATTCCCCAATTCTGCTCAAGCAGAACGTTAATGTTTTACATATGTATTTTAATATCTTTTATATATCCCTCCATGGCATATTTAAGTCTCACTTGAAGGTCCATCTGTGTCCCAAATTTATCAGAAACACCTTGGAAGAAGGTTTTCACTGACAGCTGTCATTGTAAGACAGTGAGCAACTCTGATTGTTTGTCCGAGCGAGCCACAGTAACTAAGGGGTGCGGGGCTTACCGATAGGTCAATTACGAAAAGCAGTTGTGAGATATTCACAATTGGGAGAGATAAATTTGTAATTTGCAACATATAAAGTTACATTGTGTGGTATAAAGTCAAATTGTTAGATAAAACATTGCAATTGCGAGAAATAAAGTCACAGTTTGGAGATCTATTTTTATTTTGAGGTGGAAATGGCTTCCATAAGGAGCTTCGATGATTTGTCAAATTCGCTTTTGAGTAGAAAATCAAACCTCCAGACCTCGAAAACCCGTGACAATGACATTCTTCCTTTGACTGTTTTGCAGTGGAGCTTGAGAAACGCATCGACTTTGAGCTGAGGGAGGGTCTGGTGGAGAGCCGCTACTGGTCAGCGGTGACGTCGCACACAGCCTATTGGTGCTCCCACGATGTGGCTCTGTTTCTGTTAACATTCATGTACAGGCCAAATGAAGCGAATGACATGCCAGAGGACAACCCCGAATCATAACAAACACGCATATGAACTCTGACACCACCCTCGATCGCTCCCTTAATATAGTTTAGCAGACCTTGTTCACTGTGCATCAGAGATCCTGTCCTTGCCTTGTTTTCCCTCCATTTAGAAGCACATCCATGGAAGAGACTTACTCTCTCCACTACATCCCCCCAATTAGGATTGGAAATTCTGACCATCCCCACCTCGAACCATGCGGTCTCTTCATATTGACTGATGTGTATTGACATTGTTGTGGTTGTATAGTGAATTGGAGGTTCACGATCAGAAGGGTTTTTTGAGAAGTACATAAGATGTGTTTTCTTGCCTAAAAAGAATAGTTTTGAAGACTTTTATAATTTAAGCATAACTATTATGTTTATATTATTTAGATGATAAAACACAATCTGTATCACTCCTAAAAGTGGCCAAATACTGAGTAGTTAATTTGAAGAGAATAACCATTAGTAAACGTGGTTCAGCCAAAAATATCAATTCTGTTATTTATTCACCCTCATGATGTTCCAAATTCATGTGATTTTCTTACGTCAGTGGAACACAAACGGAGATATTTTGAAGAATTGTACTAGTTGTTGTTTACACATTACCAGTGTTCTTTTAGTTTAATTTATATACTATTATAGTTTATATTAATATTTTGAGTAAATTTTTTTTCATTTTAATTTTAGTTGTCTTTTTTATGTGTTCATAGTTATTTTATACATATTATTTTGTTTTTCAGTTTTAGTTAATTGTAGTACTTTGTTAAACTAATCAAATAAGAGCTGTAATAAAAATAAGTTTACTTTTTATTAATTTTTTTTCATTTTAATTTTAGTTGTCTTTTTTATGTGTTCATACAGTTATTTTATACATATTATTTTGTTTTTCAGTTTTAGTTAATTGTAGTACTTTGTTAAACTAATCAAATAAGAGCTGTAATAAAAATAAGTTTACTTTTTATATTTCATGTTTTATTTCAGCTATTGTTTATTTTATTTCAAAATATTTATTATTTTTAAGTTTTTTTTATTAACAATAACAGCCATGTTGGAAACTGAAGCTTTTAAGCTTAATAAATGACACAAAACACCATAAAGTTTCATAAAAGTGACAACATTCCAAGTCCTCTGAATTTAATGTGAAGAACAGATTGAATTTTAAGTCATTATTCCCTAAAAATGTTTCCATCTGCCCTAGCTCTCCATTCCAGAGTCATGAGAGAAGTAGAAATGTCCGATTCATGAATGAATCTTTAACCGAGTCAGATGTTTTCAACTGATGTAGTTGACAAAAACCACTCTGAATGATTCGTTCATGCATTAGACTGATCCAGTTACTGAGCTCAACTCACTGAATCTTTGATCCGGTTACAGCGTTTTAGGAGCACGTCATCAGTGAATAACCTCTGACCTTTCAGTCTGTTCCTGAACATATTTTCTAGCTTCAGAAGACTTGGAACATAGTTGTATGGACCACTTTCATGATCCGTTGTGCACCTTGAAAGCCTCAGTTCCCATTTATTGTAAGTGGAAAGATCGACTAGAACATTCTTCCGAAATTCTCCTTTTGTCTTCCATGAAAGAGAGAAAGTCGTACTGATTTGGAACATCAGAATTTTCGTTTTTAGGTGAACTATTCCTAAGTCCTTTTTCTTCTTCTCTTTCTGATCCATTTGAGGCATTAGTTTCTCCTCTGCACTCGCATGATAGACACTGAAATCTACTGCACATTTGAATGCACTCTTTGCTATGATCACCACTGAGTTTTTGCTTTAACATGCATGAAATCTGAATGTTTTCCACTGAGGCTGTTAGAAAAACTCCCTACAACTGGATCTCCTGTTAGTTCTGTCCAAGTTGAAACACTTCACATTTTGCGTTTGTGGCATTCTCTGCAGTCGGCATATCAAACATGTTACTCGTCATGTTGTTTTCTAATGTATTATAGCACTAATGAACCATATAGTCACAAAGACATTGCCATTTTGAAAGAACCATCGTTTTTGTGTTACGCCCATGTTTTCTGTATTCATTTTGTATGATTTGCAATTCTGAAAAATGACACCCCCATGCCTTTTACGACGACAAGAGAAAAGCACTTAACATTTCTCCTTACCTCACCCTTGAATGTGCCAATAAACTGAAGAGTGAGACCTTCAGCAGGCGTGTGGTCAGAGGGAAACGTCAGAACTGGACTCCAGCGTGTCTGTTCATGTTTAGCTTCAGTGAACACCGAGCTGTTCCTCTTTTATGAACCTGGTGTTTTTCATTAAAACTGATATCGACTGCCCGCTCTGTCTCATTCTGTTAATTGCTTTTAAATCCTGACTTTATAGGTAATATAGGGATCAGCTAAGCACAGTTTGATGTGGGCCTTGATCAGAATAAATGGAAAACAACAGAATACAACTTTATTAATCCCTGCGGGCTGATTTAGTTTTAGCTATAAATAACGAGTCATCAAATGTGGACACTGGAGCTGTTGTTCTCAGTAGGGGGGTAGTGACCCAATAAACAGGTCAGCAATACAATAACATTTTAAAAAGGCAGGGTAAAAGTTTTCCATATGCTTTGTTGTTCATGTCTTATATCAAAATAAACAGTATTTTGGTGTACATCCACCTGTCTTTTGATCATTAATGCCCAATACTGATGCAATATTTGGGGCAGTTTTTTGTTATATGCATTAAGCTGGTAAATTGCACTTGCTTATGCATTTTACAAAAGAAAAAAAAAAAGTTTGGGGTCAGGGTTTTTTTTTCTTTTCTTTTATTAATACTTTTAGATTTCTATCCAACTGTTTTCAACAATAAGGGGCTAAATGCTTCTTGAGCACCATATCGGCACTGTGACACAAGCAATTATATTTTGGTATCATTGAGATACTGTTATAGTTTTTTATTAGTATTTTGAATTAGTTTATATTTGTAGTGCCTGAGCACTGATGGTGCAAAGACCCTCTTTGGAATTGCTGTTTATTATTATATTTTGCATGTAATTTTATTTGATTTTAGTTTTATTTATATAATAACCCCACAATGAAGACTGGAGATTTTGCTGGCGAAAATACAGCTTTGCCATCACATAAATTACATTTTAATATATATTAAAAAGAATTTAGGCTATTTAAATTATTTAGAAGTTATTGTTTACATTTTACTATGTACAATATTACTGTTCTACTGTATTTTTTTTTTGTATGAAATAAAGCTTTGGTGAGAATAAGAGACTTTTTTCAAAAACATTTTAGGCTAAAAAATCGTATCAACCCCGCTACTGTATATCATATTTTATTATATCATATTATAAACTAAATGTGATAAAAAAAATCCCTGTTTATCAGTTAATTAATATTTGTTTATAGTGATTCCAGGATATGCATCTCTGTGCTTCAACTTTTAAATATTCGTTTCATATCAGCTTATTCAGCTGTTGATAAAATCAGCATCACTTCTTCCAATCAATCAGCCCTTCCAACCAACCGGGCTGCATTTTATCATTAGCTAGAGGTTTCGCGTGTATTTGCGTGTGTGTGTGTGTGTGTGTGTGGCTCTGTCTCAAATACAAGCCGCCAGTGTTGCCAATTTAGCAATTTTGTTGCTAGATTTAGCAACTGTTCAGACTACCCTAGCAACTTTTTTTTTTTTTTTTCAAAAAGGCACCTAGCAACAAATTTAGCTATTTTTAAAAAGTTTTTGGCAACTTTTGTAAAGTGACTCAAATGATAAAAAGGCACATATTTTCATCTAAATTACACAAAATGAGGAAACCATTGAACAGCTAGCCAGCCAAGCAGCACATCAACCTGGAGAGAGCTGGAGAAAGATGCCTAAAAGTACAAACATCAAATGTGCATGAAGTTGCTAGTTCCAGTTGGTCAATAATAAATGCCCATTTATGATACAGCATGTTATTAGCTTGTATATATAATTGTTGTTCAGTTAGGCACACTGTAAGACAAATACGTGAAAAAACTGAATAGGTACTAGTCATTTTCTGCCAGGATGTTATCAATTAAGTTGTAACCCTGTAACCTTAAAACACAAAATGCAATGTGGAATTTAAAACACCTGTGAAAAATAAATACGGATTGTTCGTTCATGTTAACAGTAGGCCTACATTGTGTCCTATTTTTACAGACTTTTGTGCAGCACACTAACTAACTACCAGTACACTGCTTAAAACTATACTTGTTCAGAATGTGCAGTTTTACTAGTTAATAAGAAAACACATCAAATGTGTAACTGTTCAATAATTCAATGTTGTAAAAAATCA